AAAAACCAAGGCGGATCGGGCAACCAACAGTCGAGATATCAGCAAACTCTTACGGCGCGCACACCTGGCTGCATGGCCCAATATGGCGACTCAGGATGATGTATCCTCTTATTCCTCAGAGAATTTCCATGCCGATTTGGAAGAAGCAGCCGTGCTGAAGGTACGACCTGCACCACCTGCTGACCAAGAGCCGATCACTAAGGGCATGCTGCAATATAGCAGCCCACCTCTCGCAATTTAAAGCGACAGTAGACAGGCCACTCACTTGACTTGCGCTCCTAGAGCAAGCAAGACTCCAGGCTAACCACCATGGAGAAGAGGCTGGTAGAGATTTACCTGAACCAGAGAGGCATGGAGGCCAGGGTTGATACCTTAGAAGACCAGAGGCGATGGTACAATCTCAAGCTGAGGGGCATCCCTGACACAGTGAGTACCGAGGAAACACCGCACTACATAAGGCAAAGGCACTAAAATTGGATGGCATGTTCAGGTTACCAAACCCTAAAATGCACCTACTACTGCCACAGCAGACCTTATTCTCAGCTTTCAAACAATGCAAGACAGTATGTGTGTGTTTTTTCTACTGCTCATTTTCCCCCCTCATTTGGTCACATTTAGTGCCTGTCCCCAGCCAATCACTTTTTTTTTTTTTTTTTTCTTAGCTCCACTGGCTGATTTCCAAAGTACCTTTCTCATCAGTTAGAGAATTTGTATGATCACCCGATCAGCCCAAATTCTGATGAATCTCCAAGCCTAGTATGCATTGGTACAAAAAAGGTTAGTAATCACCTTGTCATTTATCATATTTAGTATGATAGAGCATGCACAGTTCGATACAATAGTGCAATAAACAACTGTTAATAAGTTGGTAATCTCCTATCCAGATCTAATCTGTAAAAAAAAATTTAAAAAATTGTATAAAAATAGATTTCACACTTCTGGGAGGAAACTCCTTCTCGAATCCTGGCTTGGTATACACTGAATAGAATAACTAACTTCATTCCTTGTTGTATGCCATAGAGAACTGGGTTCTTTCCAAAATGTCTGTATTGTGTCATTTATAATAATAAAAATGTCAGCTGAGTGTTCCAAGTTGGAATCAAGCAACGTAAACAAACACTCAAGTAAATAGACAAATCTGTGTAACTTGATAAACTGGCTTTTTATATATTTGCTATAAAAACAAAATTATTCTTCTGCCTTGGTTTGCAGACTATTGGGTAAGATTTTTTAAATTATGGTTTATATTTTATTTAAAAGGATTAAAACGGTTTTCTTTCTCTTCTCTCACTTGGTTCTGGTAACTTATCTGTGGCTGATATTTTTGATTTGTGGTATGGATTTGAAATTGTAATTGTAGGTTTACATTTTCATTCAAACATGCAATATATCAAGTGTTTGGACGTTTTTAACACATTTTCATTTCACTTATATAAATTGAAGCAGTTAAACACACGAGTTTAAAGTAGAACGGTTGATTTTAGCACAATCGATAGCAAGCTAACAGGGTTATTCAAAATAGCTAAACTGTTAAAATTATTTAAATCATCTATGCTGTCAGTTGACCTAGTCTGGATTTTCACAATTAAATTGCAACTGCAATCCCAATGGAACCCACCATTTTTAAACCTAATTTATAGCATGTTTCTTCAACTGCTTGATAGCTCACTCAATTACCTCCTCATTGCCTTTATAACTTACCTATAGCTGAAAATGTCCTTTAATCCCTCAAGCCCGGAGGCAATTGTACAAGTTTTGATCAAAACAAAACCTGTAATTTTACTATGTCTGTTCAACCATCATTTACCTATTTCATAGTAAGTGCACCCACACTTATTATATATAATTTTGTACAGGAGAAACATAGCTTTAATTTTATATCAAATATTTATATGAAACAATTTTATATGAATAAAATCTAAACAAGTGTGAGAAATTAGATGTAATTATTTTTCTTAATTCTGTGAGGCATTTTTACTGTGAATGTCATAATACTGTTTGCTTTTACTGCAAAATACACATATGTGTTCAGGGATGTCTCAGAAATGGAACAGTACCCCCTCGTGTGCAGGTCTTATGGAGTTTTGGTAAGTTACATGGTTAAATATAAAGCTTGCAAATGTAATTCCTTGGATTTTCTGCCTCAAGTTGTAATTAATAAAATTACATAATTATGTAAAAAGATTACATAAATATACATGTACAACTTAAATGCCGTATATAATTTAGTTCTAAGTGTATTTTGATATCGATTAAAACAAACAAACAGAAAAAAAACATATATTAATTTGTCATTTAGGGGCATATGATTAACCCACACCCCCCATTATTTAGTGACTGGGGAACTACCTGACAACCCAGGCAGTGCTGTAGCCTGCCATTCCAGCCATGTGATCACAAAAGTCCCTCAACACGACTGGGATCACCGTGGAGGGTAAGTATTTGGAGCCACAGAGATTGCAAACCGTTACGGCGTTTTATGCTGTAGTAACTGCTTTTAAACCCACTTGAAGCATGACGGCATAGAACTACATAATTAGCGTTATGAGGTTAAAGCGGCTCTGTCACTTTTTAATATTTCATTAAGACGTAATTTTTATTTACTTTAAAGTACTCATGGCAGGTTCTTCTTTTAACAGACACCACTACCCAAATAAAAAATAAAATAAAAAATCATCTATCACAGACTCCCAGCTTAATGAGAAGTCTTTGGAAGGCGGGTGCTCGGAGTAATTTCTGCCTCCTGAGTTCAGCTCCACAGAGCTAAAAACCAGGAAGTAACAAGCCCAGTTATATGCTTGGCAGCTGGGGGGAGTAAAAAGATTTAGAAACATGCCAATTTCTATTGATATCCTCACTTTTTGTAAAATTTAAAAAAGAAAAATAAAGTACAAATTATTCACACAAAGCAAGCTAAATATCTTTAGGGATATTGAGCATCCATTTTACCTTTGCACTGGTAACAAATGCAAGGTGCCCAGTCCTCACTTGCTCAGAAACGCAATGATTTGCAAAATCTGTTCCAGTAAAAAGCTTTTTTTTCTGATCAAATACTTGAACATCATAGAAGTTAGAAAAGCACATTTGTATGTTTTGCAAATTACATTGTAGCCTGATACACAAAGAATGTTGACAGCTTCTATCTCTGCTCTAATTTGTCATCCCTGTGCACAGCACCTGAATTAACAGACATGGTCTATGCTAGGACAGTAAATGTTAGACTAAAATGAAAGTGCAAACACACTGTTAAGTCTGCAGGATGGTATGAAGACATTAGCGCAGAAGACTCTGCATTACTCCGAGAAGCCAGAACTACAAACACATAAAATGGCCAAACTCAGCTGTATAGGACATAAAAAGACTGCATTGCAGAGGTCTATTTTTAGACATAACATTCTATTTCTGTTGTGTGAACTCATATAAGCAACTTGCAAGTTACCTCTTTAATATTGTGTCCAATCACTGATGAGGTTAGGCGTTTTAAACCTTACATAAATAGAAATCCTATTAAGAAGATGGTTTAGTTAAGCAACAATCTAGCCAAATCAGGAAGGGGTGGGGAATTTATAGATCTGGGGCCCTGTTCTTCTTTTGCCTAAGATGAACTCATCCAGTGATTTTTAGTTATACTTATCCCCCAGGTTGAGAATCAATTTAAATCTAGAAATCTACACTGACTGCTCCACCTGCCCTTTGCACCAACCTGTAAGCATCGAAGGTTTGTTTATTCTCCTCCTGTGTGTACCTGGACAGAACTGGATTGTAATCATGGGCGTAGGAACCGGGGGGGATGGAGGGGACGCATCCCCCCCAGCAAATCATGTGGGGGGGGACAGGTTATGGGGAAATCCCCCCCAGCTCCGCCGGCCCCCCTCATGCTGCAGCCGCCCGAGAGCTCTGTAGAGAGCCTCAGGCAGCTGCAGCTTTGCCCGCCCGGGCGCAGCATGGGGAGAGGGGCTGACAGGAGGTAGCGTGGCAGAGCCCTGTATCATGGTCCGCGGGTACAGGGACCATCTTTCTCCTGTACCCGGCCGGACTAACAGGAAGTACACACTGAGTGTTCACTTCCTTTTAGTCCGGCCGGGTACAGGAAACAAAAGCTCCCTGTACCCG